TGCTGTTGCTGTTGCTGCTGTTTTTTGTTGTTGTTGTTGTTGGTGGTGGTGGTGGTGGTGGTGGTGGCGGCGGTGGTGGTGTTGTTGCTGCCAGGCCTTCACCTTCGCCCTGGATGGAGATGATGTTTGCTTCAGCCGCATTTTGTGCAAAGACGGAGATGCAAGAGCCGTTGAAGGTGGATATCGGACGCCTGCTGAGTGCCTTCCCCAATCTACTTCCTCTTCAGTTCGAAAGGTCTATGACCGGAAGTTCAGCTTCCACAGGTGAGGGCAGTGCCAGTGACGATGCCTGGGATGCCAGTTCCAGTTACACGGAGCAAGAGCGACCAGAGAGCCCATGCAGCAAGCCTCCAATTGGCCCTCCACCGGGTCTCGAGCACTGTGGACCTGCCACTCTGGCTTGCCAGGCCTCGAAGACCTCAAAGCCTCGTGGAGCGCTCTCGAAGCGTGAAGTGATGCATGATATGCCAAAAACACCCGGGTCTCAGCCACAAAGACAGGTCGAAAGAGAGGTGCGACAATCTTTGTCACATAAGGGGTCCGATGGCACTGCTCGCCGCTCAGCGAAGAACGCCAAATCTAAGCACAGCAAAAACTGCAAGGGGCAGGACGCCCATCAGATTCAGATTCTTTTCACGGGATATGACCCGCAGAAGCATGCAGACTTCGACCTCGTACCGCGACTCATCGGCCGAAAGGGCTGCAACATGGTCCCAATCTTTTCCACAGGGGCGAAGGCCCGAGTGCGGGGCGCCGGCAGTGGCCACTTCGACTCTACCAGCCCGAATGGCGAGCCGGCGGAAGCCGATCTCATGCTCCAGCTCGTGATCTCAAGCCCGACGTGGCTCAGTGGCATATGCTAAAGGTGCATTCATGTAGCACGTGACATGCTAAAATCCACAGACTTTTTGTGTAGTGATGTCGACACAGTTTTCGAATGCGTTCGTTTTTGGGCACATTTGGCGGCCAGGATGGCTGTAACTATTCCCGGTGTCCCGCTTGGTCTCGTTTTGCTGCTCTGAGCCGTGCCAGGAAGGACGTCCTGGATGCGGCTCTGCGCAGTGCCCTAGTGCTGCTGGACGATATTTCGTTCCACTTTGGCCGTTACTGTGGTGGCTTGGCTGCATTTGATGCCTTGTCACAATACTCCAATTTGCATGGTTGCACCTGCACGTAGTTGAAGATAAGGCAAGAAGCACCTGCCGTGCCCACGACTCTACAGCATCGCCTGATTGTGCTGGAGTCGACGAGCACCTAGGCACCCTGTTTTTGTTGATGGGCTTTCTTCTTTTCAGCTACATCGGTAGAAGCAGAACAGCACACCGGGGACGCGGCCACGCATGGATTCAAGCAGTGCTGGCAGATGCCAGGTAGCTAACTGGATCCCTTTTGGCACCACCCGACTTGCGCGGACATGCAGGCGCACACACACACAGAGACACAGAGAGAGTGAGGCACACAGAAGCATGTACAGTACAGTCGTGTGATGCCGGAGAGGCGCGCCGCAATCGAACGTGAAGCGGATTCCTAGTTGCCGAATTCAAGATCTGACGATGGCCGACCTTTCGAAGTCTGACAAAAGCCCTTCCCTGAGCCTTTCTGTAGACTCTGAGTAGTCTAAGACTAAGAGAGTCTCAGTGTTGCTTTCATTGGCTTTCTGCCATCGTCACAGGTCTCTCTCATCGCAGGATTTATGTGCAAGGAGCTGTGACAGAAAGTTAGCGGGAGGCTGGGAGCCTCACCGCCCTTTGGTCAAGTTACGTTTTCGTGATGTTGTGGTTACTATGATATTACTTATTACTACGATTACAGTTGTTACTGTTGCTGTTTCAGTTCTTATTGTTACTGTTACTATTGTTGCTCTTAGGACCGTGTGTCAGAGCTCAGAGGGCCCATTTCTTGCGCAGAAGTGGCTCGTCGCCATTATGCGGGCACTAAAAGGGCGAATTCAACCGATCCCCGCATGTTGAGTTCAAGCACCTTCCTCTTCTGTTTGACTCAACGTGTAGCTGTCGAATCAGCAGATGACAGCAAATGGTTATGCCGTGGTTTGGGAGTGCTTGAACTCAGGGGGACTGTATCAGGATATGCTTTGTTGGTCGTCCAACAACAGCCGGTTGCGCTAAGCGACCGAAGGAGCTCGGGAAGAAAACTTTCACCTAGACATCCCAAATGAGGCATTGCTCAGCTTAGAGGACCGCTCTGACGGGTGTTGGGGGCCTTGTTTGAAGGGTCACTCAGTTTACGTGTTTGTTTTGGCCCCTAGGATGTCGGGTTCACGGTCTGGGGTTTATAGGGCGCCCATGCGTGAGCTGATGCCTCTCTCGAATTGATGCCAGCCGCGTCCACCAGCATAGGGTGGTCTTGGCAACAGGCAAACCAAGGAACAGGTCTCGGCTGGACCTTGAGCAAAAGTTGGAGTTAGGATTCAGAGGTAAGCGGAGGAGCCTTGCAGCTATCTCAGTACCAGAGTTAATCGTACATCCACGCACGGCTGTTGACGTGTTAATTTTGCTCCACAACATGGCCAGAGCCGGTTGTGCTGGAGCTTGGGCACACCAACCCGCCGAATGACTGCAGAGGATAGGGCGACCCCATTCCTGAGACAAGAAACATGTCGCACAGAGTCGCGGGCCTTTGCCAATATTGCAAAGGCCATGAGACATCTGGTGAGTTGACCAAGTCGTATCATCTAAGTATGCGGTGCAGGGTTGTCGCAATAGCTGCACACACCCCCTTGCCTTCAACACCTGGCATGTTATGTCAGGTCATGATTCTTGTCAAGATTCTGGGTTGTCAGCCTCGCGTCAGTAGCCCACTAATTTGGTGTTAGACTGCAATCGAATGGTTTGCGCTTGTCGTGCTCCCCATAACGTGGTTGCATGTCGAGGATCCGTGCATCAAGCCGCTTTTTTCTCAACAGTTAATGCTTATTTGCAGGCACATCGAGCGATAGCTTTTCTTTTCGCGAGGCGAATCGTTAGGATATTTCAGGACACGGACCCTCGACCGCGTTCCTGTGATCAGATCGCATCTGCGAATGATTTTCTGGCATCTCTGACCCCCGTTCCATCGATTTTGCCACGTCGTCTTGCGTTGTTTTTGCATTGGACCGTCCAATGCCCCGGGCCCAGTGTCCAAGGAGTCCCTGGGGCTTCCAATGGCATCTTCTGCATATCTCGGGGGCCCTGCAGAGTGCCCCAAGGACTCATCATGCACTGGGACAGCTTTTGCCTCTGGGCAGGGAGAGAGTGTGTTTACGGCCCGAGCCGGCAAAGCTGCAAGGGATGTGGCAAAAGCAGGTGCGCATGTCTACCAAGTTGGTCTGCAATGGCTTCCTAGTGTCAGCAAGATCCGTGGAGTGTTGCGCCCGTACTGACTGGCGTGTTGTCTCAGGAGGATGCCCTCCTAGCTTTGAGGCTTCAGTTCTGTGGGAAGAAGCCACCAGGAAGCCGGTTGCAGTGCCAAGTTTCAGTGAACCTCATCGGCTAACACACCGTGTGGTGAATGCAGGGGAGCTGCTCAATACAAGCAGCAGTTCCCGGTACAGTACTGGACCAGCCCGATGGACATTCACTGACGGCATGCTGATGTGCCTTATCCGTCGGAAAGCGTTCGCAAAACGGAGGAACTGATGAGTTCTGCAGCGACAGAGCCGAGAGCTTCCGTTTCAGAACCGCAAGTGCCCCGCTGCAGCAGCCTCATTTCGAGTATGCGGTCTATACAGGATGGATTAGGCTTGTGGCCTAAGCTGAGAATGAAACGCAAGGAAATATCGGCAAGAGAAGCTGCTTCAGCGTTCTTCCGAGCTATAGAGTTAGCCCTTGTATTTATCCTTCTGCTGGACTCACTGCATAAAGGTAGGATTCAAGTCTGCGCAACCTCAATCAAAAGTTCCTTCGCCTGTTTCCCAGTTCCCTTGTGCTTGTGCATACGGTGCAGTATGTCACATCCCAATGCCGTCTTTGGCCCAAAAGACTACGAATTGTCTGCCGAGATCCGGCATCCGCGCATGAAGGGCAATGCGGCTTTGGGCGTGCTGTTCTCTGTCGGGATGGAGCGTGGTGGTTCTTCTGGCGTGTGTGGCCGCACAGCAAGCGCAGGACCCCCTGGCTCAGTGGTTGGATGACCTGAAGTTCAATCTGCAGGACGTGACACAGGAGAAGGCGGGCATAACTTTCCATGTCACGGACCTTGTCTGTCAGAACTTAGAACTAACAGGCATCCAGTCAGCAGTTCAGGGAGTTGGCTTGTCCGTGACACTTGGCGGTTTGGGTATACAGTGCTCTGGGCGCTTTACCTACCATGGCTACGCAATCCTCAGTGGGTCTGGCGGCTTGAATGCCGTGGTCTCCAGCACGCCAAGCTCCTCTGCTACGGTCGTTCTCGAAGGCAGCGGCTTTGAGAAGAGTCTCCCCTGGACTGTGGACGTGGGTAGCTGCTCTGCCAGTTTGGATTTCAAGCTGACGCTCAGCGGCTCCATAGTGGACTACATCGTGAACTTGTTTTCTGGACCAATCTCAGCCTTGATCGAAAGGCAAGCAGTGCAGCAGGCATGTGAGAAGCTCAAGCAGCTTGCATCTGGGCCTCTCTCGCGCAAGCTGGCGGCCTTTAATCGCCTCATGCTCCCTCCGGGGGCTTTCGGGGAGCAGAGAGCTCTGCTGAGCCCCCAAGCACTGGCAATGTGGATTGCTTGCAGCTGACGGTGAACGGTTTTGCAGCTCAAATGCTGGCGGAGTCCGCGAAACCCGCCGTGGCAGAAAGCGCGATGAGAGCAAGTTGGGTGCAACGCCGCCTCTCAGAGAAAGTGGAGGGGACCGTGGATTGGCAGAAGGACAAGTTGCTTCACTGGCTTTCCTGGCTACTGGATGATGTACTTGGACCTGAGCGCCTGGACGAGGCACTTCGGTGGGCTTGGAAGGGCCAAGAGATGACCATCCCAGGTCCGGCCCAGGCATTGTTAACAAGCACTATCCAGCAGCCAGACGCTGGCTTGAAGCTGAAGCTCGAGGTCTTCTTGGTGCAGGCTGTGGTTGACGGAGCCGATGGCATGTCGTCGTTCTCTCCGGTGCAAGCAGCCGGACCGGAGGACCTCAGCTTCGAGGTTGCTTGGGGCGCCGCCCTTGGGCTGGGTGTCGAAGTGAAAGTGAACATGGAAGCGATTGACTTGGCGACTGGACAGTCTCAGGGTTCAGTCGTGCAGGAGATGAGTCTGCACCTCGGCCTCATGCAACCTTCACTGGGCATCACAGCTCAAGCGCTCGTCCTGGCAGACCAGTGGCCAGGCCGGCACACCTTGGCACAGCTGCTCCTGGAACCGAGAGCGTGTCTTACCAGCATCTTCCAGTCTGCGCCCCAAGTCCAAACCCTCGAAGCGAAGTTCTCGACGCTTGCTGCTCCTTTGAGCTTCGAGGTGGCATGTTTCCAAGCTGCCTGCGCTACTACATGTACCATGTGTTGCTACCTAGTATGTCAGCGGTGTGTTCTTGTCTAGTGTGTTCTCTGACCTTGACGGATTGCAGAGGCCAAGACAACAGGTGCTTTGGAGGCATCCATATCCTCGTTACTCAACCACGTCGTGGTGCTTTTCAACCAGGTTTACGAGCCTCTGTTGCCTGGGGCCATCCAGCGGGCCGCCGGATCAAAACTTCTGCTGTCCAAGTTGAATGACGCCCTGAAAGCGCAGATGAAACCTGGAGGTTGTATTGATCCCTCTATGGCTTCTCAGAAGATTCGCACTCAAGTGCCTCAGAACTACAGCAACTGGCCACCTCTCTTCGACACTGCGTTTCGGAGTCGGTTGAACAATTTCATTGATGGCTTTCTCGCGCAGAACACGTCAGTTTTGGACCAGTGCTTCTCCGATGTACCAAGCCTCAGGCTTCCATTAGATGCCGAGTTCACCATAAAGCAGCTGAGTGCCGAGGGCACGGACCAGGTCAGCAACCTCCGAGTGCTGATCCCCGAGACGCAGCCCAGTTTGCTGGGCATGAGTGTTGCAGTGAAGTGCCCAGCGCCTGCAGCGGCATGGCGGCCGAGTCTCGGCATCAATGGATCTTTACTGGCTGGAGGCTTTCAAGGCAGTGGCCTGGCAAGTGTCGTGGTGCCATGCGGAGCTGCCGGCGCAGAAATTGAAGTTGTCCTTGACCTTTGGAGCCTCTTGGATTTGCAGCTTCCGTCAAGCCCAGCTTGCCTTCTGGCGTCTACATTTGCGAAGCTGGACGTCAAAGAAATCAACGCGACATGGGATGGTGGCGGTGACTTCCAGGTGACGGCAAGCAACGGTTTGCCGCAGGAGCCTTTCAAGGAACTTTGCGAGATGCACCCTCAAGTTTGCAGATTGGCTGTGAAGTTCCGCCAGTACCTCGCAGGGAGACTGGGCACTGCCGGCGTGTTCCAGCACTTGCGCGATTCAATGCTTAAGCACTGCACTCAGACGGACTCGACCTTGCAGGCACAGCGGGGCGTGGACAGGGATTCCGGTGGCTACTGGTATGTCCCTGCCAGCAGCCTGTGGCTCTGGCTGATCAGCGGGCTTGCAGTGCTGGCATTGTCTCTGACATACGGCTTCTGTGCCCAGTTTGGTGAACTCCGGCATCCGGATAGCTGTGTGGACTCTCGAAGAGCGCCAGTGCCCTTGGCAAGTGTTTGCTGGTTTGGTGTGCAAAGCTGGCCCGGCTTGCCCTGCTCGGGGAAGTCTGGCACTGTTGCAGTGAGCATCCTCATGTCTGCTGGCTTGGTGTCGAGGATTCTTGCCTGCTTCTGTCTTCCGGTTGCTTCAAGCGGCATTGAGATCATGCACGACAGCAGCAGCATCTTTAAGGAGCCGTGGATGTCTAATCTAGCTACGAGAGTTGGAGTTGGAGTTGAATCGGTTCGTGGATATTCCGGACATGCCACGAAGTGCGTAGTGACATCGTTTGTCTACCCACTTGGCTAGTCCAAGTTGAGGTTCCCCCCCCCCCCCCCCCTGCCCCCCCCTCTTATGCCAGGATGAAACCCTCCTCCTGTTCACCTTCTTCGGCACCGGCGTTCAGTTTGGACTTGGTGGGTCGCTGTACTGCGAGTTCCTGTGGTTCTTTATGTCGCTTGTGGCGTCCTTGGTTTGTCATGCCATCCTGGTCCTGGTGTGGATGACTCCCTTTCTCGCGAAGCACCGAAGGCAGCTGCTCCTTGTGGCGGTGGTCCTGGGACGATTTCCGCTCTCCGAGATCGAGACCACCAGCAACACCATTTTGATCCTCAGCAATCGAGTGTCACTCCCTTTGGGCCTTTCGCAGGCTCTCGGACTTAGCCTGCAAGCAGGGGCCTATGTCTCCTGGTTCTCATCCATCAGCACGCTGCTGGCAATCCTGATGCTGCTGGCGCTGCTGCCACGGGAAGTGAAGGCAAGAGACTGGGCGGCAGGGAAGGCACCCGTCAAAGTGATGGCGCTTCAAGGCATGGCAGCTGCCATCATGACGGCAGGCATCTGTGTGTGGTGGTTCTGTGACTATTTATATGCTGAAACCGGTGGCATCGCCGGAGCATTAATTGATCCACCTTCCTACAGTGCCAGCCAGCTCGGCGCATCAGATAAAGCCTTACGGACGATGATTGTCCTCCTGGCTGTCGTCTGTCCACTGTGTCACGTCGTAGCTTTTTGCCTGGGTCTGTCGGGAAAGGCACCAGCTGCAGCAAGAAAGATAGCTGGCTTGGCTGCTACATTCTGTTTGCTGGACCTTTTCACGATCGGCTACCTGATCAGCTTCATTGAAGGCGTCGGAGGCTTCGCCTCCTCATCCATTCACGGCCTGGCTCCAAATATATGCGACCTGAGCCAGGAGAGCCTTGATGAAGACTGCTTAACTATTCGCACTCGAGTGCTCCCACTTGGCACTGCTGGCTTGGTAGTGGCGACGGCAGCTTGGGCCTCCATGTGTAGCTTTCAGGTCTTAGGTGCTGGCCAAGACCTTCCAAGGGAAGAAGACCCCAGAGCTGTCACAGCTTAGGATTTTGTATGAAAGTTTTAATGTCGAAACTCCCCATTGCCGTGGCGCTGGCCACAAGTAGCATCAGCAAAGCGGCAGACGCGAGTGAAGACATGCCTGAAGAGCTAGAGGCAGAACCAGGCACACCTCAGATCCTTGAGCATGCTGGATTGCAGCTGCTCATGATCTACTTTCGAGATTGTGGAACGGGCCGAAAAGTTTTTTTTTTTCACGCTTGCGCGAGACCCTGTTCAGGCTTGCAACTTCTGGTCCTGCGTTGCCTTCAGGATGGATCCATGTTGGAGTTCGTCATGACAGTTCCCCGTGCCCCAGCCTCACACCGGCTGACGACCTATGACGACCTGCTTGCTGAGTCATCTGCAAGCTGGCAAGGCTGATGATCAGGCGCTGCTCAACATGCAGTTGAAAGACGGTATCCACAGTACCCCCAACGATGCAACATGAAGTGGGGCTGCTGCGTCGGGTGTCACCATTGCATTCTCAAGTGGCTTGCGTTGAGACAGAGTGGCGAACACCGAGACATCTCATGTGCCATGAGCTGTGCAGGCGAAGATTCGACGTCTGATTGTGTTCTGATCCCGGCTTGCTGCAAGGTAGCTAGGGGCCAAAGGACGAGGGACGAGTCCCGGTTCACAGAGGAACTCATGCACGTGGGCTTGTTTGCCGAAATCCTCCAAGCTGAAGGTTTCACACGCTGTCCATCTTAGGGGAGAAAGATTGACGACTACAAGGCCAAGCTGGCAGAATCACCTGTTGAGCCTGCAGCAGGCGGCGGGCATACTTTTGGCCTCCTCTTGAAATGCGAGATTGGACAGGCCAGGCTCATGTTGCAATCTAAATCTAAGTCCTCAGTTCTTTCTGAGTTCTTGTACGGGCTCGTGTAAGCGGGAATCAGTGAAACCCGTCCACGGGGATTAGTCACACGCAGGGTGGACCGTCGTGATGAGAGTCGAACCCCCCGCCACAAACCCTAAACCCTAAACTCTATGCGACACATTTTTTCTCGGCTCCTCCCTCACCTGGCGAGGTCATGGTGCTGCGGAGGGTGCGTTGGTAGCTTGAGCCGCATGTACCTTAAGTCAACCCAAGTCAATTCCGGACCTCCAAAGTCTGTAACCAGTTTTACAGATTCAGAGATGCAGTTAGCTTAAATGCTCATTGGACCTGGATGTCAGGCCCGGATGTCCGGTAATTCATCCTTAGAGGATGCTCATAGCGCACGCACCTCCTGCCAGAGCTGCAGAGCTGCAGCCTGGGTGGATTATTATTATTATTATGATTATGATGATGATGATGATGTTTATTATTATTATTATGCAGTTTGTGATCTCAAGCAATGTACACATGACCAGCATGAACCTAAACAGATTGTCATCACACTACTTATCCAGCTTTCTCGAATGTCCTTTCTTGAATGGACATAAGCCATAAGCCACACGACGGAAGCCCACCAGCCCTCGTGAACGCACACCCTCTCTTGCTTATGACTTGGTCGCTTATTGAGAAAGTGAAGTGTCCATCGCGTGCTCAACCAGAAGATGCTGCTGAACTCTAAGAGCACGGAAAGCTTGTTGCATCTCCGGGCGGCACCTGGTCTTGGGCTTGGCTCAGCGTTTGAACCAGCTACAACCGTGGTTCTGGAGCATCACGTCCTTTGTGAGACAAGCATTCTGTTCAGCACGATGCTATAGCCAAAGCGTTACTCAGTTACTCAGTCAACAACTGCATCTTTGAAGCCGGTGCATCGTGCGTGTTCTTCACCTGGGTGGAACTTCGTGTATACATCCATGGGCACCTTGCCAGCATATCCGGGAAAACCTGGTTTGTAGACTCGATCCGGGCAAGCAGTCGGAGCATCATGGGTTTGTGTTTCTGAGAGTAGGCATGCGACGCGGTCTGGTTCAGAAACCACCTGCATACGGAGGTGAAACATGATACCAATCCAAAGCTTCAAAGATTCTCAGCGCATAAGAGCTTGCTCGAGAAAGCCACGTCGTCATGATCTAGGCTCTGGCAAACGACCCGCAGCTGGTCCCAGACACAGGAGACGTGTCCTTCGATGCCGTGGTGACCGCTCCGGCTGTGACCGAGGACGATAGCCCAGATGCCGCAACCTGTTCGCAAAGCCAGTCTTGATGCTGTGGTCATGGTCGGTTTGACGGCCTGTCGTGGCTACGAGCCCCGAGACCCAGCGCAACAGGAAGCCCGCCATGTTGACTGCCTTTAGGACCTAGGACACGCTTGTCATGCGAGTCGATGCGGGGTTGACAGTTGCCCAAGGAAAGGATCAAAGGCATCTTTCGTCGCTATGACCTGAACCGGGATGGCTCCATCAGTCGAACGGAGTCTAGTCCGCAGTCAGCAACCGGGCTGGACGTTGTTATTGTTATTTCCATTGCTACAGTTATTGCATTACTACTAGTATCTCTATCACTCATTATTATGATTCTACTACGACGACTCCTTTTATCAGAAGTTCTGTGAGAGTTTGCAGTTCACGGCTTGCGTAGAGAAGTCCCTGAGGAGCTCTCGCAAGTGCTGCGGGCACTCTGTCCCTCGATTTCGGAGGACGAGGCGACTTGACAGGGTTTAGGGTTTCGGGTTTAGGGTTCAGGGTTTTGATCCTGCAAGAGGCTCTTCGTAGACTAATATAGGGGCCTTAGTAATTAGAATAGGGTTTGGGGTGCATTATACTATAAATATAATAAGGACCCCCCAAAACCCTATTCTAATTATTAAGGCCCCTATATTAGACCAATGATAGTATATTGTAGTAATACTAATGACAGAATATGATCGGCTGTTGAATGGTACGCTACAAGATCTGCACCGTCCACGTGAAGAAGAATGAGTTCTCGAGAACCCCCGAGAGTGTCAGCAGGCCTACACAACACAAGAAGCACCCAAGATACTTTGGGACGAAGCCAACAAAGCTTCAAAACAACCCAGACTTGCAGAGTCTAGGGATCTTATGCGTTGTCAGCTTCTTGAGGCCACCCATCTGAGAACTAGACAACCTTTCCAGTTTTTGCAGCATAAGGGCTTGAGAAAGAATCTACTGATGGAGTGGGGGCATCCGGAGCCATTGCGAGGCGGGAAATGTCCGAACAGCATGCGCCAAAACTTTACCGACTGTTCTGTTCGACTTTGTCCCTCCGGATCGCTCCAGCCTTTATCATTGTTGACAAACATCTATGGTTGTCTTCCAACAGCACACACTCCGAGCAGCAGAGCAACCGTACACAAACTGTAATGCACAGTTACTTGTTAACTTAAGCTAGGGTGACCCTTTCAATTTTTCTGCCCCTGACAGTGGGCCCTAACTTCGTTGTTTTGCACACTTTTTTTTGAAATATCTTGGAGCTGAAGAGCAAGCACAAGCCCCCTATGGAACGTGTGGAATGTAGCGCTAGCTTGAGCTTACCCGGCAATTCTTACAGTACTTCCGCTCATCTTTCTGCATATGTGGTTGTGGCGACATCGCTGTTTTCTGCAATGCAGCTGACAGTCGACTGGGTCGCTGTCAGAAGCCAAGTTTCAGCAAGGTCAGCAGCTTGTTCATCAAGATGGACACCAACAAAGATCAGAGGCAAAGCCCATGGCAGAAGCCAGGTTCCATCTCAGCCAAGAATTCAGACGACAGAGAGTAAAGACTCCTGCAGAGTCCACAAGCCGTGATGCTGTCATTACGCTGCTTTCTGAGCTGCTACTGCAGGATTCAAATTGAAGAGTTCGCTGGACACTGAGCCGGCTTCTGCACTGGAGTTGTGCTGTCATGTATAGTAAAGTAGTACTCTTATGAATGGTAGCATGGCAATCAGGACAGAAGGTCCGCAAGGTTCGCAGGTTGATATATCAGCAGCCCCATGCGTTCGGGGTTCGTTTTGCTGTTGCACTCCTAGTGCCGAAATCGCAAGATTTTCGCACAGCCACCAAGTGAGGTAGACTTTATCTTCAGCTTTGCCGACATGTCTGATCGCGCTGCCCCATGCTAGCGATTCAATCCGGGTTTCCTCGAGGAGGTTTTGTTACGTAAGGCTGAACACCTAAGCCTAAGCGCATCATGGGATTGTGGAGTTGGCTTCGCACCTTAGACATAACGTGGCTGTTCAACAGTTGCTTGGCTGAAGAGATCCTTAGAAGAAGGACTCCGTGCAGAGCTCAGAGGAACCCCAAAGGGTTCCTTGAAGTTACAGTTACGAAAGGAAGGCTGGCACGGTCGCAACCAGGATCAAGTAGTGGTTTCGGAGAGCGTTCCACGATTTCTGAGTGTGTGCGGCACAGATACTTTCCTTAAGAGATGAACTATGAAGCGTGTTGGAGTTTCTGATAGCTTCACTGCAGATGCCTGTAAATCTGCTTCTGGCCAACGCCAGTAAAGTCGGAAACCATGCGGAAGCCGTCGAAACCTAAGCCCAGAACCTTCAAGCAGCTGAGGAGATGGCATTGCGGGAAAAGGGTGGGGAGCTGCGAGAGGGTGAGGTGGACCAAACTGCGGAGCGCTACAGGACCCGTGCTTAAACTCAGCTTGCCGTTTGATTGAACCCGACGTCTAGTCACAAATGGTAAGCAGAGAAGTAAATAAGAAAGCATGAACAATGAGCGAGAGTATGTGTTTGTGAGTGTCTGGTATAGACACACCGACATACATGTACACGCGACGGCCTAAGGGCACATTGATTGCACGAGCATCACCGCCACGGTGGTTGCCAGTTCAGGCCGCAAGTTGATGCCGGATTGGACATCGCAGACTGCGACTTCAATCTGAAAGGCAGAGTGAGAAAAGGGTCGTTTGTAAGCATTTTGCGAAATTTGTATTGGAGAAGGATACATGAAACAACGCACAATCTGAAAACCGTGCGTACACCCGGAAGCTATAGTTGCAGACAGTACCACCAAACATATGTATGTCACGACTGGTAGATTCTCTACCTGGTGGGTAAATACATGGCCTTACTGTAGGAAGCTGATTAAGTTTTTGTTCCTCTGACCCTATAACACCCAAAGTATAAGATTTCAGATTTAAGAGCCATCATAAAGACCCAGGGTTTCTTAATCAGGTTCCTATCTTAGACAGGCGAGGAGCCGGACTTGCCGGCAGTGGTGCGCGGCCTTCAGTTGCTGCACGCCCAAGCACTGCGCGAGGCACCAGAGTTTCGTTTCCACCGGTATAGGGTTTAGGGTTAGGGTTATAGCAGAGAGACCTCGTTTAAAAAGGGTTAAAGCGGTATAGCAACACAGGTAAACAAATCTCGCCTTGCACAGCCGCATCTTTCAGCAGTTCAGGAAGCAAAACCTTTCACAGTGGCACCAGTGTGCATCTCGCAGTCTGCAGCTGGTCACAAACCTGCTCTGTTGACCACTTCGTGCTTTCGTTTTGCATTGCAGGTTTTCCAGAAAGCCGACGTGAACAAGCGTGGATTCCTGCGGTTGGCAGATATCAGGCCGGTCACCGGTGGCTAATGTAGGGGCTTAAATGATTAATCATCAGAACAGGGTTTGGGGGGTATATTCTACTACAATTCTAATAAGGAACCCCCAACCTCGTATTTGTAATTATTGAGCCCTCATAGTATGTCACCACATCGAAGAGTCCTTCTCCGAGCTCCAAGTGGGGGATTTTGATTTGGCATGCGGCGGCCAAAGTGAAGATGCACCCCGCTGGTATGTTGTGGCGGTAAGTTCAGGGCTTCCACTGTGCTTTCGCGACGCATCATAATGTATATAGATATATGCTTTGCACATGTTGTTCTTATGTCATGAGTAAATGGAGTGGCGCTGTTTCATGCTTGGAAAGGCGCATTCTGTTCCCCGACTCCTCGGACTCGTTGAACAACGGCCTGGCAGTAGTGTGCTCTGGTTGCAACATATGTTGCAAAAGAGGAGGGTAGGAGATGTGCGGTGCTCCGAGTCTGCAGCTGACGAGTCTGCGAGGAAAGTCTTCGCCCAGATGGATAAAAACAGCGACGGCAAGATTCACTGTGGGGAATTTGCGGCTTGGCCACAAGAAGTTCACCTTGGGATTTGTGTCTTCCGTGTCGGTCGCAGCATACAGAGTGGATGTGTGACGGATGAGGGCGTGCCATAAAGATGGGGCCCTAGAATCCCTAGAATGCCAGAACCGACTCAGTTTTCGGACTGCGGAAAAGTTGGGAAATTGACTGGGCCAACGTCGCAAGAAAGGTGTCCTACATCATGAACACGAAGCGCCGCTGGGATGCATCGTGATGGTATGCTTGTACTGTTAGTAGCAAGTTCTGTGCTTGGTGAGTGCGTTCGTCCTGGCACAGGCCGTCTTTCTAACACGGCATCAAGCGCCGAGAAGCGCCAGGCCCTGCATTGGATGCCACTTCGCGATACTTCCCTGCTCGTCTCGGACAAGACCGTCTTACCACCAAAGCGGAGAGCATCCTGCTATCCTGCATGATTTTGTCAGATTGCCACGGCCTTCTCGGCTGCAGATGCTGACGCCAATGGCAGCATCAGCATGGAGGCCGCCGTGCCTGCCGCTGCGTCTTAAAAGGGAGTTCTCACCCAACATGATGTCGCAGCATCTATGCGAATCTTGGTATCTTCTTACCTTCCGTCACCTATCGCACTTGGTTTGCACGCAGTTCTGTTCGTGTTTGCAACGAGGAGTTTGAGCATCTGTTCGGTGCTAACACAGCGACCGACCAGCAGATGCTGCAGAAGGCTTTTGATGCCGTGGACAAGAACAAGGCAGGCCCGGGGAGTGAACGCAAATACTTTAAGGACAAAGCTGGGCCCTTTTTTTCCAACGATCAGACATTGCTCAGAAGTGCCCTTGAGATGCAAATGGCAGACCAGACCTGTGAGAGACAGTTGCAGTTTTTCCTAGTTTGCCCGCGGCGAGGATGGTACCGTCTCCGTGGCTGAGCTCGCAAAGGTGTATGGCAAGGCAGCTCCTGCAGACCCTTCGTTTGCCCCATGCTCTTGCCTTTTGATTGGGACCCTTAGCAGCCTTTGCAGGAGCTGGTGCAGGAGGCCAAAGGACTTGACGTCTCCGGCAGCATGGATGCAGGCGAGCCGGTTCAGTTCGGTCATCAGCTGACATGCCTCTGTTCGGTTTCTGTAGAGCCCTGTAGCTGAGGAGCATGGGCCGTGCATTTGCCATAAAGACTACAGGGGGGAGCTGACATGCCTGTTAGAGACCAAGTCGTCATGTCCGCAGGTAACGACGAAAGCGAGGAGGATTCCTGAGTTTCTGTTTCTGCGATGCTCCAAACAGTCTTGCGTACATGCGAAGCGATCACACGGGCGAGGCAGTTGCTGAAACAGTTGCGTCACGCGGGCACTTTGTGCTGGCTGCGAAAGACGGGGCTCAATTATCCGCTTGAACCCCAAAGGGGCATCAGCTGTAGATGCCAAAAGGCATCCCGAGAATTGCGGGAGTGAAAGCTTGCAGAAGCCTGAAGCTTGTCTTCGCGACTGCCCGCAAGGTTTCACGTTCCCCTGCAGCATGTCACAGTAGGCACGGGATGTGTACTAGGATGCCGCGACGGGGGAGGGCAGCCAGCTCGAGGTTTACCTGCATGCGCGACCTCTGTTGCCATGCAGGTTCACTTAGCAGGGGGGTAAAACAGCGGCTCCGGGCTGTCAGCTGGGACCCTAAGCCCTGAACCGAACCCTAAGCCAGCCCCCCATTCACAACCCAACTCCGCAGCCCACCACAGAATTCGACTCCATGGATTGAGACCGAGCCCCTGCCACCTCCTTGGCGGGCGGTGCAGCCCTGTCACAGCCACCCCACCTCAGCCAACAACTCACAAAAACGGACGCCCGGGTGCTTCTGAGCTGTAGGGAATGGCCTGCAGCCGCACCGAGATGGGTAGGCCTGTCTCATTATCTGTTTCAGTCATGTCAGCTTTGCTGGATTTCTTTCTGTATACTTCTGAGCGGATTCACAGAGTCTATCTTGGTTGAACCTTTTATGGCCGGGCCAGGCCCCGGGCCAGGCCATAACAGAGTCTGTCAATGTCTGAGACAAGCAAAAATCCTGCACACTCACTGTCACCTACACATAGAACATATCTCGCTTGAATAGTTATTTCATGCAACACTAGCAGCTTCCATGCTGGTTTCTCTGTATGTACGCATGTCTGTTTATCCGTGGCTCGACCTGAACCTGTAGGGGTTCGGAGTCTGAAGCCGTGCTCCTGTTTGACAATGTTGTACAGATTACGCCACAGTTACCACCGCAAGCTGGTTGCATAACATTGTGCCATAGTACTGCATCATGCCATAATGTGTTCTGTAGTCTCATATAACTTCTGACCTGCACAGTTCCGTCAGCATTGTCAGGCCGCGCGATCACACCAAGGACGCTACCTGAGAATGACCCTCGACAAGGCTAAGTCGGTCAGCCGAGCAGGTTGCGCACTCAGACGGATCACTTGGCCTAGAGTAGCCATGTGTTGCTACTGCTGTCGCCATCACCCCATGACTAGCAACCAAGACGACGACTGCAGCACTAGTGCTACTACTGCTCCTGCCGTTGGTCCCAGGCACCCTCTCGCTCACCTCGCCGCTGGGACGGCCGCTCCTGGTTAGCACCTGGTGTGGGGAGTTTTGTTTTGGTCGTTTAGGTATGGCGATTTGGGGGGGTTGTGGTTTTTTTGGAGTTGCGGCTTTACGGTAGAGGTGTTGGGGCTGCGGCAAAAGCGTTTGGGGTGTTTGTTGTGTGGAAGGTGTCTGGGTTTCAGGTGTTCCGTGTCTTTCCTGGCCGAGCTCCTAAGCCCGGATGCAAAAAAGGTTTAGGTGGTTTCCTGATGTTATGTTTGCGTACCCCGAGTTGGGCTGTTCGACTGACGAGGATGTGAATGGAGTCGCGAGAATCTTCGGAGATTCCCTGCCTCATTTCCCAAACCTTAAGACCTGAAAGTAGGTCTTACATCATGCGTGGCTTTGGATTTGGTGTGGCGGTACAAGTATGGTGCTGTAGCTTTCAGTTCTTGTTCGTGGGCTGGATGCTCGAGTTCGTGGCCTGTTTGAATGTCTCTTTGCGGTGCAGCATTGTGCAGCAATAGTAGTTCGTTTTGACTTTCTGCCCAGAGAGCCCAATACCCCTTAATAAAGGAATCTACCTTAAATCATAATATTAAGGCCCGTAGAATTTAAGGTATATTCCTTACTTAAGGGGTATTTGGCTCTCTGGGTGTGTTGGGTCGAGACAGCTGTTGGTGATCTCTTTGTGCAATCGAGGGCGCGAGGCGCCAGGCCGGTTCGGGACACTTGCTGGGTTCCCTCATACCCTAACCTCCCAGGTACCTACTATATAGGGCCCTAGGGGCTCTAGTACCCTATATAGTAGGTACCTGGGAGGTTAGGGATATCTTGAACAAGTAAAAGGACCGAGGGTTAACATCCTGCTCCGGGGACAGTTGAGCAGTGCTTGGTTGCCTGCAATAATGTGTGTTAACTGCTAACAGCTGCTAACATAGCTTCCTGAGAGTATTTGACGGGTATACCAGACTTCAGTCTCTTTTTGTTTAATGTATCTTATCAGATTTGTATCATTAAGATGTTTCTCCTGCGCTACCCAACCTGAGCCTGAGCTCGTCTGCCTGTACAATTTGTCGACACGAATACCAGACTACCTACCACCAGGCTAATGTTGCTTCTGCTGATGCTGATGCAAACTCTGTCCAGCTCCATCGCCTCTGTCACTCTCTGAGCTATTGCTGCTGATGGACGTATAGTCCAGCTGCTTTTGGTTTTCGCTGCTGCTGCTGCTTGCTGCTGCTGCTGCTGCTGCTGCTGCAGGTATGCCGCCAAGCAGAACCATGTGATGATGGTGATGCTGATGATGATGGTGGCGCGGACGGTGGTGGTGCTGGTACTGGTGCTGATGCTGGTGCCGTATTGAACACTGTAGTGGGTGGCCGTGGTGCTGATGACGTCGGAAAAAACCGTGATCCTGAGGGCGGTGATTGATCTGGTGTATGACGCGGTTTGACTTGTGATCGCCACTTGCAGCCGAGCCAGGGCCGCTAGAAAGACTACTGGCGGGGGTGACTCCGTCGGGCTGAGAGCAGTCCAAGAGCAGAGGAAGCAGGCGCGAAGTTCAGATTTCCGGTCTTGGTGAGTAAAGCGACACGATTTTGGGAGTGGTGGGGCATTGGCCGTAGGGTTGCGGATCCGATGTTCAGACAAGTCTAACCGGACACGCTGGAGGTACTAAAGTTCCTTCCAGAGGTTACATGCTCGATCCATTCGTCCACCATTTGCCATCAGCTGTCGTCATCTCTGCTGTTCGATAGTTTTTTTTGCTGTGGGCAGGAAGATGAGACGCGCGGGTATTCTACGGGGACCGCACCAAGGGGTGCGTTCTTCAAAGTTTCAGGGGTGAGGTCGTCACGCTGGCAGTTTGGCTTTAGATTTGGTTCGGACCCGAATATCAGACGTGTTTGCTGAAACTCTAGCCCGATCATGCGGAGGGCGGAGGGATCCAGTGGTCTGGGCCCACATGCAGAGGTGCAGTCATGTGCAGTCGCATGTAAGGAAGTTCTCTGCACTTCTCTGCCTTGCCATGTCAATGACCCCGTGAAGGACTGATGACGTCGAGTGCTGCTCCAAATGCTCCGAAGCTGCATCTTGCCGGTAGCCGCCTTCCACCGAAAGATCTGGTACATTTTGTGATCAGGAGATCGGATGCACCAGACGAGAATCAACTGTGCTCTTTGCAGGTTCTTGCTTCGAGACCATGACATTGAGGGCCATTGACACTTGGACAAGCAAGTTGTGTCAACTTGTGCCGGCATCACCCCACGCCAAACCTCCCGTGCTTCTGCTGACGACTCGCCGCTGCGAACTAAGAACTTCAATGAGCTGGCAAACTCGAAGTTTCCCGGCACCCTGGCAGTTCTTTTTGCGGTTCATGCATCTGTCTGTAGCCAGATGGGCGCATGAGACGCCGATCCACGCAGACTGGACTAAGACAGACCAGGAGCGAGTTAGGCCAATCACGCTGTCAGGCAGGCAGTGGAACGAAGTGCCCATTGCCGACCAGGCAAAGCAAGATCCCTTTCACAGCATGCCGCGTGCGGTTGCTACCATTAGCGACGGTAAGTACCGGACTGCCATGGGAGTGATGTCGCTGCACCTTCACAGGTGGAGTTGCTGAGGGATGCGCTTAAAGCGCGAATATACGCCCCTTGGCTGTGGACTGGTGCCCGGGTTTGGGAGGCATTCGGGGCACCGTGGCAAAAGAAACAGTTTCGGAGATCCCAGCAGAAGTCCGGTTGTGTGCTCAGGTCATAGATCCCCACTCCACCTACATGAGACTTTGGGACTTTATACTCGCTGCTTGACTTGACCAGATGAAGTGCCTGTGAAGTGGTTGAGAAGAAGGTGGCCTCACACGTGGTTTCAGTGGAGTCACAGAAGCAAGTCTTGCAAACATGGCAGGCATTCCGGAAATAGTGGCATGTTGAGGATCGAGGTTGAAGGAGTGTCGACGTGCTTGGGCAAACATGGCTGAGGTCTTCTGTTTGGTTTACACTGCGCTTGTCACACCCTACGAAATCGCGTTCATCCCTGACCGCGACAGTATTCTGCTCGTGACTTGGATGCAGGCCCTTTAGGAGTTTCTGGCAATGCAGCGATGCCAGCTCTCGATATCATCGGGCATACCTGTAACATAAACGCGATGTTTCAGCCGAACAGCCACTGCTTAGGTTATCAATCGAATAGTCCGCGCCTCAGTGGAGCAAAGCCTTGCTAATTTGCTGAGCGAGTGCCACTTCCCCAGCAAGATCGTTCCTTTTCCGAACGAGAAGTCTCGAGCATAGTTTGCACTGCTTTGCTTGAAACAGGTTGACGTTGTGTTCATCAAGGACATGGCAGCTTGCTTGCATCGGCTGGGCTCCGGCTGTAAACAGAGTCTCGTGCATGTAGCTGACGTAGCTGTGTCATTCGCCCCCAAAGCTGCTGGGCCACCCAGATCATGCAGTTTTTCATGAAAGTGGAGCGCAACACAAGGCCGCCCAGTCTGCATCTGGTTGTTTGCCTCGCTTCCTCAACACGTACCGAAGTGGAAGCTAGTGGCACATCCTAAGCACCACAGTCGCCGAACCGCATCGCAGGCAAGGGAAGATCTGGGTGCGGGATCGCCGCAAAGTGGCGCTGCTGTACGTGAAGACCTGGTTTCTGTGCCCCGGCTCGGTACCGGTTTGGTAGAGTGATGCAGTAGTTTGGCTTCAGGGGTTCGGAATTTGACCCAGCTGCAGTCCATGATCTTCCGGCTTGAAGCAGAACATGTTCTGAGATCAGTGTATTATATACAAATATGAGTTGAACATCTCTTTGACGAGTTAACATGTTTACAACCACTTGTGGACTAATGGTTGTGTCACCTTGTTGGTGACAGCCCCACTGTGACTCGCAGCCCTAGAGATACTTCCCACATTCGAAGCCCCAAGCGGTTCGCCTTCTTTCGCTACCTTTCATGGCCTCAGGATAGACTTGGCTTCTGTGCTTCCCTACGATGACTTCACAGACTTGCTGCAAGAGAGCGCTGATGGCCACCCGGCTAGACACGTGACACCGCAAGATTGCGGCAGCGTCGGTGGTAAAGTGTCCCCATGTCACAGTTCCCTGCACCAGCCATGCCCAAGTCACACAGCTTGTTCAGTCGCCGTCACTGCAAGGTATACAAAGCGTGAAGATCCTGAGAACAATCAGGGCCGCTTGCCTCCAACAATTCCCGTGAGACGTGGGCCTAAATCACGTGTCGCCCAGGGCCGTGGCATGTGCAACTCTCTGCTCACAACTGTGCGATTGGAGAAAGACCAGTCACCCGCAGAACAGCATGTGAGGTGCTTCGGCTCGTCAAGCTTCTGCGGATTCTCAAGGCCATGGTTTGTGGTGTGTCATCCAAAGCTAGAAAGGCTTCTCTGCACCTTCCGAAGCAGACTCCAGTGCGATTTGGTCCGCATGTGCTGTAAGATCTGAGAGGACTTGCTTTGCGTCTCTGTAGCTTTCAGGCCAGCCGAATGGTGAAACGCTGGGAGAATCGCATAGCGCTGAAGAGTACGACGCTTTGATGATTTGGATTTTCCCATGGCATCCATCCAAAGTCCATGCAGTCACAGGTGCAGCTGTACTTGTAGCAGTCCTTGATGGTAGCAGATGGTTGTAGCATGTCAACAACAGAAAGGTGTTGGATAGACATCGAGCGTTTGCTCATGTCGAATACAGTCTTTGAATTCGGCTCTATGGTCGTGACGGTGGTACCCCCAGAACAACAAAGGGGATAAGGGGAAAACGGTCGGGAGCAACCGCGCGACACGTTTATGTGCAAGCGGACCAGTAGCAGATCATGAAGTAGGAGTTGCGCACGGGCTGTGGAATCTTCTGGGTCTGGCACGAGATGTTTCGCCATTCCTGGACACCGAGGAGCCGTGAATAGTCCAGCAGAGACATGAGGGCAGCCTTGAATAAACAGCCACCATTTGCCCAGAAAGGGCAGGATGGTAGAACAGCAGAGAGGCAGCAACCGTCATCCGAACTCCCGCCTACAACAGCAGCCAAGGAGCCTGTACTTGATAAAGTTCGCGGTGTTGATCATCCTCTCGTGCCACTGGATGGTTGCTTTGCCCGCAATGCTTTAAGTTACCCTGAGCTGAATCTCCAACACCTCATCTGGCAGAGTCCGAGTTGTGAGTGTGCACTCCCGAGAGAGTCTCAGCCCTGGTGTGTCATTTGATGGAAGCCTCGAGCGGACCATGAGAGTCTCAGTGGAAGTACAAGCCCGGGTGAGTCGAGATGGTACTTCTGACTTGAGCTGGTATTCGCCTGTATTCAATATATTTGGTTGGTCTGGTTGGAGTTTGAGACGCTGAGTTGGCGTGGATGCGTGCGTGGCAGTGCCGAGGGTCCAACTCGAGACACGAAGCCCTGCGCGAATTTGAGAGAAGCTTGAAGGGGTCTGACCTCACAGAAAGGACCTAGCTCGCCCGAAGTGTCCTAGCATGAGGGTCAAAGCTGATAGAAAACCATTAAACCCACTCTCAAGCATCTCGCCTGGCTTGTCCAGAGTGAGCCTCGAAGCCCTGAACCCGACACCATCAGGCTTGTGTCTGGGGTTTCCTGGGCCTGCTTGAGGGAAGCATGCTGCTGCTTGGATGCAGAGGGAGGCGTTTCGGGTCGAGGTCTCGGATAAGGGGTCCATCTAGGGTGCAACATCTAAGTTAGGGTTTAGGATGTGGGGGAGCTTCTTAGTCCAGACCATGAACCCCGAGGGGTTGCAGATGCTCCATGTGTCTCTGAGCAGACGACGAAAGGGACAGGTCAGATAGGATTCAGATAGGTCATTGCTCAGCGCCAACTACCGGGGCGAGCTGAGGAAATGTAAAGAAGAGCTGCCACTTAGCTGCATCTGCGCTGGCCGCGACGCGACCGACGTGCTGGGAGCATGTTCTGGTTTGGATGAAAGCACCCTGTGCCTGGCAGCCCCCGGTGCCTCGTGTCAGAGACCAAGCTTTAGCTCATAGTCATGTCCGGAGGCTACGTGACGGAGATCCAGATGGGCTTATGGCAGCAAACCCTGACGCTTATTACTTTTTCGAAGAGCGCACAGGTCCCCGGATGTTTATAGTCTCACTTTCATGCTGGATGCTGTGCGTCATGCACCTCGTGCAGGCGATGCCTACAACCCATCTCAGTGGTTTGGCGACAGCTGGGTGGCCGCTTGGTGTGTTCTGGTGGTTCAGCTTGCCAGGAATGGGCATTCCCACTGCAGACCCATCCAGTGTTTGGCGAACGACGCTTTTTGATGACTGGACTGGACTCCAAGCGGTGCCTAGGGTGCCAAGAAAGCCTCGAGCTTGCACCCACTTTCGAGCTTCCCAAGTTCGTAAACCATAATTACAGGGGCCCACAGTCGAGTGCATCGAGTGGGATCCCGGCCCCGGCGTCCATCAGTCCATCCTTCTCCGCCGGAATCGTAGAGTCTAGCTGATGGCTTTCCCCGAGCTAAGGTGAGGTGGGCAGCTGGTCGTGCGGCGAACTCTCCAATCAACCCCTGTGACACCGGCAGCCCGAAGTGCAAGCCGAGGAAACGGGACTGGAGGTAATCACTCAGTTCAGCATCGTTCCGGAATGGGCTTTGCAACGATGGCTTCTTGCAGGAGTTGTCAATTCCTTGTGCTTGCTGCCATTACAGATGACTAAGGCAATGTCTACATTGCGGCCCTTTACTGGTGAGGAACCCAAGTTGTTTGCTGATGCAGTAGCGCGTGCGTAGTTCTGCACCAGTAGAGTGCCGTTACAGCCATGTAGATCACTGCATCTCTACAGCAAGGGGCAGCGACGGGCTGTATAGCACGCTGCGAGAAACAAGGTCTGTGATGACGATGACATCCGAGCCTTGTCAGAAACAGGTTTGTGCAGCGAATGAAGTGTCGCGTTTGTAGTTTCCTGGCTTTTGTTGATGATGTTATGCTGTGTTGCGAGGGTGAGAGGCCGCTGTTCGGAAAGGTTGGCTATGGAGATGTCCTCCCATACACCCCAGCAGAATACCTGGTGTGCACCTCCTGCCTGGCCCTCGGTGTCACCTGATTCTTGCGGTCTGATCTGCAATGCTGAATTCGGACCAGGCATGATGATCAGCTCCATTGTCTGGGCCTACATCATCGGCGCCGCCTGCGCCGTGATGTCGAAAATGGCACCTCCGTCTGCAGGGCCTTGTGCTATGCAGGGGTGGGGGACGGGGGAGCGGTGTGGCATTGGATGAGTCTTGGGGTTCGACTCTTGGGCCTTGTAGCCGAGGACCCCGAGCTGAGCGAATTCGAGCGGAGGCCGATCATCCGATCACCGGGGGATTTTAGTGCAGTGTGACATGGAAAGGGGTTCGTGTCAATCCGACTCGTTGTGCAGGATTGATGATTTCAATGCCATGGCTCACGACCAGGACTTGGGAGCTCCATGTAGTGCATGATCGGAAACAGTTGCTCTTCACTGATGAGCATGAAATGGTACTCGGATAAGGATATACAAATAAATGCAATGCTGTCGATGAGGATCGGTACAATTGCCATCAGCATCAGAATCTGCTTATGCAGGATTTACTGCCATTTGTTGCTGTTTCTGTTTCTTCGCCGCCTGTGGCCAGCAGTTGTCATCATGTGTCTTATTTCCTGGGAAGTAGTGTTGACCGATGTTGTTGTTCTTGTGATTTCAGTACATTGTTCACTTCATCATCTTCCTGTCGTGGCCCATAGTCCTCGCAACTACCATAGCGTTGAGGACCAGGGTGGCTCTGCTTTTGCGCCCGGTTTCCACGTGTAGCTGTCCGCCATAAATGCGAGGATCTCCCCGGCCACATCCGGTGGCGTGGACGCGAGTTCATTCGATGCCAGGCTGCACTTACATTTTTGTTTAGGTATATATAGGTGGAAGCACGCATGTGCGTATGGGGTGTATTTTTTTTGGAAGCGACCGCTTCAGATCGCTCACTGTGGACCAAGGAGAGCAGCGATTTCACATGCACTACCTGCGAAATATCGTGGCTTGGGCACGTTGCATGTTGAGTTCTGAGCCTTGAAGCCGAGCGCGGAACACCGAAATCATGTCTTTTCCTGAAGAGCAGAGCTTATCTTGAGCCAGGATGCTTGGGAAGGGCTCGGAGCTGATCTGCGGGGCACTGTGGCTCGACAGATGGCGTGGCTCGGCCTCGATCTCTCGTCATCTCTCGTCTCGTTCAGACTTCATCAAAAACCAGGTGCCTTTTCGGCCGGATGATTGAACTGCGTTCTGCTCTGCCCATGAGGTCGCACTACATCAACCACATTTGGTTCTTTAAAGGCGGCCCTCAGCAACATGCCTCTGCCGAGTTGGGCTAGCTGCAGACTCCTAGCTTCCTGTTTATGTCTTCTGAACGATGCAGCAGCAGCACGGTGCCAGGAACCAAAGCCCAATTTCGGGAGGACTGTGCCAAGAACTTCGCCACTCTCTCGCATCGTTATGAACATCTTCACCAAGTCGTTTGGCATTTGAGTGCCCCTCGCCGAGCTGACCTGACTGCCAAGGTGCCCATGTTCTACGAGCGCCGCGAGGTCATAGAGAAGCCCTCGCAGCTTTGGCCTCAGCTGAGCTCGAGATCAGGCTGTGCACCATTGGCTCAGGCTAGCCAGTACAAGTTCAAGTTTAAGCCGAAGAAGCTCAAGGGCCGAGAATGTTAGCATACATCTACAATGATTGCATTACATTCGTTTGAAGTAAGTGTTTATAAAGTAAAGATTGTAGTGGTTACTAGGTTTGGTGCACCCTGGAGTCCAGAACCGATGCCGGCTCATGAAGCAAGGCTAAACGTGGTCGAGCGTGGAGCTGTGGGACGTCTTGGGCGAATTCTGGTGCCTTGGGGCTACTGGGGCGAGGCCCGACCTGGGTTTGGGCTTCACTGCAGTGATTATTTCTGAGTGTATCTGCTGCATGAGCCAAAGCAAGTAAACGCATGACCGGCCATGTTGTATCTTTCACTCTCTTCTCGGCACACTGCCGGTGTGGTGTCGAAAGCCGGTCGTGGCCCTGACAAAAGCTGACCTTTCGAGGACATGCTGATCCGAATGGCAATGCTTCGCCAGGACGGTGGTGTGTCTGTTGACTTCTTACTAGGAGTGAAGGAATGAAGGAAACAGGAACACCGGAACAGGAAATTCGTGCCATCTTGAGCTGGAGATATGTGTAAGATAGGCGCAAATGGGGGGGGCAACATCTCCGGTCAGCTTAACCACTGCCTGCAGGACAGCTCCGCCATGGCTCTCACCTACACCGCTACCGGGCCGGAATTCAGAGACTGCTCCTGTTCCCAACACCCGCAGGGCCGTTAACGCGTTGAAGCATCAAGAGCAGGCTGCCAATTTCACTGACCTCAGGAAATTATGTCCCTCAGCCGCGACTCGCTGTCGCACGTCCTCTTGGACTTCCCGGAGGTGGCATGCGATTTCTGATGCAACTAGCAGTGTTCTGCGGATCAACAAGGTCATAGAGACCGAAGTAGTGCTGCCAGCGTGTCACTGTTGGCCCGCCTGAGAGTGGAAATTGTGGTAATTGTCCCATACGACTTGGTTTGTTTTTCCCGACCTTATGTGAAGCTAGGCACACAGCAAACAAGTTTTTACACATACTCGCAACCTTCCGGGAGCAATCATGCGAATGATGATCGCAGCAAAGAGTGTGTAGATGTAGGCAGCGACTTCATGCAGGAACAGATGCGCTTCCGAAAAGCGGCGACGTTGATGGTGACTGCCCAAGTACTTACAGCATTTGCTCGTGGTTCGCAGGACTTGCTGCGTGTTGAGGGTCTGTCTCTCCGTCGATCTGTCTGTATGGATGTATGTTGTTACATCTGTATTGTCTAGTTGTGCCGCCATCAACCTCGCCTGACCTCGTCGAGCGCGAGTGCCAAAAATGTCTGTATTGTCTTCTGTCCGATTGTCTGCCTCTATGTTTGTGTCGCGACAGTTCCGGATATACGGATTCCATGAATAGGTACATTGCGGCGTTGTCAGGAATAAAGGGGCGTAAGTCGTCATCTCACTGTCAGGGCGGATCTTGACAATGTCTTGTTTCGAGTGCACGGATGTTGCGCAAGAAGCACGGACGTCAGACAGTGCTGTGCTTGCTTGCTCCGAGGCTCTCTTCGCAGTTGCAAAGATTTACCGAGTGGAGCTCTCCGCAGATGCAGAGGAACGAGATCCTCACAACCGTGTGAGCCTCAAGCAAGCTCAACATCTCGTTCGCATCGACGGATTTCCAGGTTAGGTGCTGCGCACAGCTTTTTGGCTAGTAACAGAAAAGGCTGTGCGATGTCATGTCGAGCAGCTGTGGCGGAACCCTTGCAGATGGTTTCAACAGATTTCAAAAAGCCAGGCTGGATCCATGACGTCTTTGAGACGGCACGCAAGGTTGGACTGGAGGATGACGGGACATGGAGTGCTAGTCCTGCACGCAAAGATTTCAATCGAAGATTGGCTTGGCTTAGCTACTTGCAATCTATGTCACCGTCGTGAATTCACCTCCCACACATTTCACTTATTACACGTTCTATCACAAAAGAGGGAGGTGCGATGATGCTGGTAATGCTGGCCATGGCTCTCTTTGTTTTTGTCATCATGGTTGGCAGTGCTGAATTCTCGTGGCATCCACGGGTCGGCCAATGGGCCAGGAGCTCACGCCGATGAAAGCTGCGCAGATCATGCACAATCTGCACCACGGTAGTAACAGCTTTCAGTGACTCCGGGGTTCCGGGGTCGGCGTGTAAGTGGGTTGCTGCGTTGTCTAGAGTCCTAGAGTGTTTCTATCTAGTTAGGAATATACAGACTCATAACTTCGGCGTCTGTCGCTACATCATTTTTCTCCCGGGCACATGTTCAGTTCAGGATTCAGGAAGGATCTGCTAGCATCAAAATCTGTTGTCCGGGTTGGGACTCCTTGTTTGAACTGGTCACACCGAAAGAAATTTTGGTGATTCGGATCCTGCCCTAGAGAGTGGTTAGGTGCGAATGCCTGCGATGTGGGTAGTCGGACCTCAAAAGACAGCCGATTTATGAATATACTCGTGGCTGATGGTGTCTGTCTACTCCGCCAGTACCCTAGTAGTAGTAGTCGTAGTACGTAGTACGTGTACGTAGTACGTAGTCAGTAGCCAGTAGCCAGTAGTAAGTAAGTGGCAAGAAGCAAGAAGTAAGTAGTATGTAGCAAGTAGTAAGTAGTAACTGAGTTATAAGTAATAAGTATAAGTAATAAGTAGCACGTCGTAAGTAGTAGTTGAGTAGTAAGTAGTAAGTAATACGTAGTAAGTAGTAACTAGTAAGTAATGAGAAATAAGTAAGAATTAGTAGGTAGTCAGTTTTACGTAGCAAGTAGTAAATAGTAATTATGTAGTAAGTAGTAAGCAGTAAATAGCCAGTAGTAAGTAGTACGTCGTAAGTAGTAGCAGTAGAGGCAGCCGTAGAACTAGTAGTAGTAGTAGTAGTAGTAGTAGTAGTAGTAATAGTAGTAATAGTAGTAGTAGTAGTAGTAGTAGTAGTAGTATTCGTCGTAGTCGTAGTAGTAGTAGTAGTCGTCGTCGTCGTCGTCGTCGTCGTCGTAGGTAGTAGTACTGCTACTACTACCTACGACTACGACTACGACTACGACTACGACGACGACGGCGGCGACGACGACGACTACTACTAAGACTACTATTACTATTACTGTTACTGTTACTATTACTATTACTATTACTATTACTATTACTATTACTATTACTATTACTATTACTATTACTATTACTATTACTACTAGCATATCGGCTCTTTGTCACTTGTAGCCCCGCGGAGCTGTCAGCGGCGTGTCAGGTGGGTGACAATGTACTGCTGCTACTACTACGACGACGACGACTACTACTACTAATAATAGTAATTATATTAATCCTACTGCTCCTGCTCCTGCTGTTGCTAGTGCTACTGCTCCTGCTGTGCTAACGCTGCAGCTGCTGGTAATGCAACTGCACCATCAGCTGGATGCCAAGGGCAGGCCAAAGCTAACCGCCGTTTGTGTTTGCACCTTGAGTGCCAATGCCCGAGAGCCTCGTCTACACCCTGTCATACCGACTCAGGCGAGTGTCTGAAGCTTGGACTGAGCGCATGCTCGAGGAGGAACAGGCCACCCAGTTCAGGTTCCGAGGTTGCTGAGAATCAGGGTTTCAGGGTCAGGGTCAGGTGATAGTGAGTGATACTGTAGTGAATGCTGGTTTCAGTGATTTTACGCTGTGTGCTGCTGCATGCAGCTAGCACATGCCTCGCCCGAAATGCTAAAATCGCTTTGCAGTCTCCTGGAGCACTCGGAGAGCTGGCTTTGACTTCCGAGCAGAAGATCGACTCCTGGCAGAAGCTGGAGGTCATAAGATTCACACCATGGCCAGACTGCCTTGACACGCAGAGGGAGGGCGGGCAAGCCGACAGACAACTGGCTAAGTGGGGAGGTATAGGGACCGATAGCGATAGCGACAGAGGAGACAAGTCTCACGAGGACGTCCTTGCGTCGCGGGATCGGGTTTTATGCAGAGCGGAGCAAGCATAGCTCGCTCGGGGTGCCAATACGGCCGCGCTTCAGCGCTGGTGCGGGCCGACAGAAAAGTTGGAAGGTACATGGATGCGGTGCAGCAGGCTGTTGAACAGCTGCTGTCCTATAGAATCCTATAGAGATAGGGAGAGCGAGAGCGACAGAGAGAGCCTCTGGCCCACAAGAAAGATTGCAGACAGACGGGAAGAAATGGTCAAAGGAAAAGCAACCAGGAGAGGGACAGAAGCGAAAGACAAGAGGCCACAAGCGAATCGCTTTCTGCAGCCATCAAGACCGGCTGCTTGCAACTGAGGATTACATGGTGAAGGCACGGCCTCTGGTTCTGCAGCAGCTCTGTGAACAACGGTAGTGACCGCTGCTGCGACTACTCTTGCTCCTACTCCTACTCCTAC